GGTATTACACAGAGTATTTTCACTCTGCTAAAAAATTCCTCTGTACCCTCTCCATCTATTCATCACCCCCAACTCCAGGCAGTGACTGATTTTTCTACTGTCTCCATAGTTTTATTTTTTCCAGAATGTCACATAGTTGGGATCATGCAGTATACAGCCTTTTCATAATGACTTCTTTCACTTAGTAATATTCATTTACATTTTCTCTATGTCTTTTCATGCTTGACAACTCATTTATTTTTAGGGATGAATACTATTCTGTTGTCTGGATGTACCACAGTATATTTATACATTTATCTACTGAAAGACATCTTGTTTGCTTCCAAGATTTGGCATTTATAAAAAAAGCTGCTATGAACACACGTGTTCAGGCTTTTGATTGGACATACGTTTTCAACTCCTTTGGGTAAATACCAAGGAGCATGACTGCTAGGTCATATGATAAGAGTATATTTAGTTTTATAAGAAACTGCCAAACTGTCTTTCCAAGTGGCTGTAACATTTTGCATTCCCAGAGCAATGAAGAGTTCCTGTGCTGCACAGCCTTGTCAGCATTTGGTGTTGTCAGAGTTCTGGATTTGGGCCATTCTAATAGGTGTGATTTTCTTTTTAAAAAAGGCTGAATTATACGTATTTATCTCCATTCATCCACTGAGAGACACTTAGGTTCAGGTGTTGTGTATAATGCTGCAATGAACATGGGATGTAGATATCTCTTTGAGACATTGATTTTTTTTTTTTTTTGAATCTACACCCAGAAGTGGGATTGCTGCATCATATGATAATTCTATTTTTCAATTTTTGAGGAATCTCCATACTGTTTTCTATATGTCTGTACCAATAGAAGTGTGTGTGACTTTTTCTTCTCTCAAAAGTTTAAGAGTTGATTTATTTAGCTTTCAAACTTATGGGATTTATGGGAAGCTTTCATTTTGTTAAAATTTCTAATTTCATTGTGAAATGGTAGAGCACATAGTTTGAATGCTATTTTTTGGAATTTATTGAAGCTTCTTTGTGACTTAATTCATTACCTATTTCTATAACTGCTTCAAGTATGCTGGAAATGAATCTGTTTTTCTCCATGGCTTAATTTCCACATCTGTGAAGCAGAAAAAACCAAAAATATCCTACTCCTTTGGTTTTTGTTTTGAAGGTTGCAAAGCCGAAGATCAAATGGAAAGACAAAAATATTACTACACTTGTTCTCCTACCCTTGTGACTCTTTCTTTTGCAAACTCACAGTGGGTATATCTTGATGCAAGTAAACATGGTAGGGGAGGGATAAAAGAGAAGATATCTGTTCTTCCTGAAAATGTATTGGTTATCACTGGGCAACAGGTGCTTAATCCCCTGTGGGGGCACAGTTCTAGCCTACAGAGAAGGACTGGACGAGTGGAGGCGGAACCACCTGTGATAGTGATTTTGATCTGTTTTGGATTCCTTCGGGCCTGTTGGACTTAGGTGTTTATATATGTGAAGCTGAACCTTCCATGTGCTGCTCAGAAGTATCATTGTATACTAGAAAGGGTGGTGGTCCTCCGATAGGCTGATTGATGGCAGTTGGCTAATCAATCAGAGAGCTAGCCTAGTCACTTAGGAGGCAGCATGGATGCTCATATAAATTTGCTATAGGAAGAGGATTTTGATGATGAAGGGCTTCACCTTATGAATTTGATCCAGATCTTGAATGCTAACCTCTCGGGTTGTTCACTATAAGGACTCCCCTTACCTCCTGCACTAATTCTTCTCATGCTGTCTCTCATTCTCTTTTCTTCTGTTCTGTGAATTCTCATGAAACTCACTGTTGGCTTTTCACCTTCCCCTGGATGTCATCATCAATGTCTCCTTGTTCCTAGGAGATCTAAAGCCTTTCCAAATACAACAAGTTGTGCTCGCTTTGGCAGCACATATACCAAATACAACAAGTCATTAGAAAGTGTTTTAGCCCCGGCTGGATTGGCTTAGCAGTTAGAGCATCAGCCCACATGACTGAAGGGTCTCAGGTTCGATTCCCGGTCAAGGGCATGTACCTGGGTTGCAGGTTAGATCATTGGTCCCGGTCAGAGTCATGTGGGAGGCAACCACACTGATGTTTTTTTTTCTCTCTCTCTCCCTCCCTCCTTTCTACTCTATCTAAAAATAAATGGAAAAATTAACCAAAGAAAGACAAGTGTTTTAAACTACGTAGTTTTTTTCTTTATTGATTTTTAGAGAGAGAGGAAGGGAAGAGGGAGAGATAGAAACATCGATGAGAGAGAACACTGATTGGCTGCCTCCTGCATGCTCTCAACTGGGAATCAAACCCACAACCTGGGCATGTGCCCTGACTGGGAAACGAACCAGTGACCCCTTGGTGCATGGGTTGATGCTGACACACCAGCCAGGCTAAAACTATGTAGTTTGTGTGTGTGTGCGCGCGCGCTATTTGTTTTAATTTACTATATGTTTAAAAATTATCAAAGTTTACTTTGTGGTTAGAAAAAATACACATTTTGCCCTGGTTGGTTTGGCTCAGCAATTAGAGCATTGGCCTGTGGTCCAGAGAGACTCATGTTCGGTTCCCGCTAAGGTCATGTACCTTGGTTGCAGTTTGTCCCTGGTCCTGGTTGGGTCGTGTGGGTGGCAGCCACTCGATGTGTACCTTTCACGATGATGTTTCTCTTTCTCTCTCTCTCTCCCTCCCACTCTATCTGAACAAAAAAATAAAAAATGTCCTCAGGTGAGGATTAAAAAAGAAAGAAAGAAAGAAAGAAAAAATACACATTTTTTCTCCTCCAAAAGCCAGTAACTTCAGCTATTGGCTGTATCGCAGGTCATGTAAGGCCTGCACGTTATCTCTATGAAGATAGAGAATGTTGCTAATACTTGTCCACACACAGAAAGAAAATCTCTCCCAAGAAAAGATAGCAATTCCAGAACAAAAGAAGAGGGAGAGAGTGAAGAGAGTACATGGAAATTACCAGTATCAAGAGTGGGAGGTGACACCAGAGTGATTTGCCAATATTTTGGGCTGTCATTAGAACAATAAATTCTTCACCATACAGGGCTATGTGGTGTACTGTGTACTGGAAAGAGCATGAAACTAGAGAGAACTGGTTAGAATTCAGGTTTTGCTATGTATTAACTGTGAAATTTTGACTAAGACAACTGACCACTTTGATTTCACACTCTTCACATATGTAGAATGCTGGTTATAAAATTAATACCTGCCACCATGTAAAAATGTTACTACTGATACAGTAAAATGGTAGATTGGTATAACAACCTTTTAAACTGATTACAAAAATCAGAAGGTTTTGAGGAGTGAGATTTAGAATTGTTCTCCATTAATCTGCTTACAAAGATATTTTCATCTTCCACTAGAGGCATTTGGTTGTGAAAACCTCTGTGGAAATAATGATACTTAAGGTTTTTTAACATATCTTTTTATTGGTTTTTTTTAGAGAGAGAGGAACGGGGAGAGAGATAGAATAATCGATGTGAGAGAGAGTAACATCTATCCGCTGCCTCCTACAAATCCCCTACTAGGGATCGAGCCCTCAACTGGGCATGTGCCCTGACTGGGAATCTTATTGGGACCTCTCAGTCCATGGGACGATGCTCAGTCCTGAGCTACACTGGCTGGGCCATACAACATTTTGTATATACCATCCAATTGATTTAAAAGAGAATCAATAAATGTACTTATTGACTGACTGCCTCATTTCATAAAGGAATTTGAAGAAGAACCCTCAGTTTGACATTCTTATATCTCTTTATATTTGGATCATGCATTTGTCTTGGCTTCCAAATAAAAAATGTGGTGAATTCAGCAGATCTGCCCCCAGTATCAGCCCCTCTTTCTTTTTAGCATACTTTTCTGTGCTTCTGAACCTGGAAAACTGTGAACTACATGTCCCAGACACCATTGCTTGTTCATGTTCTGCATATGAATTCATTCACCAATTGCATACATCAAAGTAAGATCTGCATGCTCTGTTTTGATGCTGCTGGTAAATACAGCTGTGGAGACCTTGGTTCTTCTGCAGCAGTGTTCCATTGTCCAGTCACTTACTCTGTCAGTGTTGAGAAGACTGCAACTGTTGGGTAGTAGTAATCCTGACTCTCTCTTCCTGATTGTGGCCATGAGCCAATTTGTCAGTGTTGTTTAGGGGGTTATGCTTGGATGCTAGACCTTCCTCAGCCTTCCAATGATTGTGAATGTCCCCAAATCACCCAGACAAATCCCCTTCTGTCTAGAGTAGCTAGCTGATTACTGCAGCTGAATCCTGACTGATTGACTTGTAAAAGCTTTATGGCAAGAAACTTGTGATATAAAGAAATGATCTTGCCCAGCTGGTGTGGCTCACTGGTTGATCATCAATCCATGCACCAAGAGGTCGCCAGTTTGATTCCCAGGCAGAGCATATGCCCAGGTTGTAGGCCCAATCCCCAGTGGGGGGCATGCAGGAGGCGGCCAATTGATGTTCTCTCACATGATTTTTCTATCTCTCTCTCCCTCCCCCTCTCCCTTTCTCTGTCTCAAATCAATAAAGAAAACAAATTAAAAAAAAAAAAGAAATGATCTTGTATTTCATCTGGAGGGAAACAGATGAGAAATAAATGATTAGGCAGAAGTTTTAGTAAGATAGTGATAGTGCTACAGATGAAAATAAAGTTGGAAAAGAAGATGGGAGTGCAGGAGATGGATGTTGCCATTTTAAATAGAGTGGTCATGTAAGGCCTCACTGATAAAATGACTTTTGAGACCTGACCATCTATTATTTCAATTGTGTGCAAGGCCCTGGTGGAGTAACTGTGCTAAAAATGCAGTTACCCAATTATTTTTTCCCTTAGATAACTCCCCTAAGTGATGCTACTTCCTTTTCATCTCCAGGTGGCTAGATTGTTTACCCACAGCAAATATGGCGGAAAAGCCTTCAGCCCGACACTTGAGCCCCTAATAAAGATGGCTACAGCACTTCCTGTCTTTGCCCTCAACAAACATGGCGACGACACTTCCTGTTCTCAGTTTTCGCCTTCAATAAAGATGGTGCTTATGGTACAGGTTCCCTGACAGTCTGGATACCGGTTGCAGTTTTATTTATTTATTTATTTAAGATACGTGTTTGCAGACGTAAGTAACAGGAAACCAGGAGCCCGATCCATCCGCTCTCGGAGGCCCCGCTCTGCGGCGTCTGCGGCCTGGGGCGGGGGCGGGGCGGCTCCCCCGCCCTCCTACCCGCCCGCGGCGACCCGAGCCGGACCGGTTTGGGGGGCGGTGGGGGTGCCCGGGACCCCGCTCTCCCCTCTGTCCGCTGTGAAGGTCATTCCCAGCCCCCGCTGTGTAGAGGGGCAGGTCTTCCGGAAAAACCTGTCGTCGCCCCTCCTGGTCGCGGGGCTTCGGCTGGAGCAGCAGGGAACCCACAGACGTGCCGGCGGGCGCAGGCGGCCCGAGTGCCCACGCGCTGCCCACCTGCCGGCCTGGACTGCCCGGGCCCTCCGGGTGGCCCCGCTCCCACGACGTCCCCTCTGTCGGGTGCGGCGGTCTGGCAGTGTGCCGTCCAGCAGTGCGCGGCTGCTGACCAGGGCTGGCACTGTGGACGTTTTCCTTTGAAATAAATAAATAAATAAAAAATCCCACCGACTGTCCCTTGCACGTGCAGTCTCAGCAGTGTCGCGATGGCGATGCACGCTGCTTGGAGGAAGTTTTACCGTAGATTGGACACAAACACTGCAGTGTTTTTCTCGAAGGGGATGGCGTATAAGCCTTTCCTTCTAGGGTAAGAGATCCTTAAACGCACTGGAACCTGGTGGTTTCTGGTCCCCGCGCCCATCGCCGTCCAGGTTCTGCCAGTGCCCATGTCCAGAGGCACCTGCTTGCATACTGGCAGGTTCCGCGGTGGTGGGACAGCTCCGCTGAAGGCCATGTTAAAATAAAACCACGGTTTCTTCTCAACTATGTTAAAATGAAATGTTACTCTGTAATACTCGGATACAAGTTACTTTTTAAGCAGGGTCTCTGCCCTACTTTCCCCCAAATCTCTTAATAGGAGGAGGAACTGAGCTAGGACCCCCTTGTTTGGAAAGCAAAAACAGAAAAGAGGATTCATGTTCAGTGTTGTTCATTCATTATGTTGGGAAACACTTGAAGTTAATTAAGTTTGGCTTAATGGCCATGTTATTTAACACATGGCTAGGCACTCTGCTAAGGTTCGAAGATGTCCATTTCCTTAAGGAGCTTACATTGCCGGGCAGTAGCTTTGGGGGCTCCTCAGTACGCCTGTAATCTGAGCTACAACTTTGTGTCTTCCCAGGGGGAAATGGAGGCTAGAGACAAGCAAGTGCTTCGCTCTCTTCGCCTGGAGCTGGGTGCAGAGGTACTGGTGGAGGGACTGGTTCTTCAGTATCTTTACCAGGAAGGGGTCTTGACGGAAAACCATGTTCAAGAAATCAAAGCTCAAACTACAGGCCTCCGGAAAACAATGCTGCTGCTGGATATCCTTCCTTCCAGAGGTCCTAAAGCATTTGATGCATTCCTAGATTCCCTGCAGGAATTTCCCTGGGTAAGGGAGAAGCTGGAGAAGGCAAGAGAAGAAGCCGTAACTGAGCTGCCTGCAGGTAGGTCTCAAAATGATCACTTCAAACCTGCTCCAGAATTGTTGAACTGTGGCCTTTGGATCGGAAGTTGGGGTTTTAGGCCGGGAGGGGATCAGCAGTTCCTTTAAGTGGGTAAGGAGTTTGGACTGAAGACATCTAGCTTTACAGGGATGGGATGAGGACATGAAATTAGGAAGTGCGGGGAAGAAAGGAAGAATGAACCATGACTGAGAGGGTGAGGCGGGAGCTCAGAGAATATACTTAGAAATGTTTCCAGGGAAACTTGGTAAGTCACTTGGGAGGCATATTCTCATCTGAGAGCCAGGTCATATCTCAGCCCTTGGCGTCAGGAACCATTTGGAAAGTGCAGATGGGAAAGCAGCATTCGGCCTCCTGATGACGGCTTCGTGGGGTGCCAGAGCTGCCTGCTGGAAAAGGTCAGGTTCATGAAGGAGGAGCTGGCCTCTAGGAAGGCAGGCCTCGCACCTGTTCCCTGGCTGCCCCACAGGGCCGAAAGGGATGGTGTGGCACGCTGGCTTAATTTGTTTTTAAAGGTTATTGATTTAAAGGCATCCTTTTTAATTTGATTTTGTTCAGACACCCAGAATATTTAACTTAAAAGGGTGGTAGGTTGTGGAGGCTCTCATTTTGATTAAGGAAAGTTGGAAGCTGTGGGAAAGAGAAACTGTCCTAATGCCATTAACCTGGCTTGTCGCAGGAAGATGTGATAGGAGATATTTTTTCCCGCTCAACAGCTCCCATGATTTACAGTTTTTACAAAAATTGAGGAGCAGAGAACTGAACTGACAAAAGAAAAAAATTGAAAGTTGACCTGCAGATTTTTAACAGTTAGGAAATCAACATTCTCTGGAGCTTTTGATAGCAGTAATAGAACTTCTCCAAGACGGTGGTCCTTAGACTTTGTTGTTGCTGTTTTAAAAATACCAGCATATCTGGTTATAAAAGCAAATACCAGTCAGTAATGAAAGACTACTTTTATTGTTTTTGCCTCATGGACCTCATATTTGAATGATTTTTTCAGACCACATTTATTAAGTGCTCATGATTAATTTTTCTATTTTTATTAATGATGTATGTCTGAATATCTGATCAACATTAGATAACCAGTTAACTTAGGAATGCCTAGTAAAATCCCAGTGGAAATAGAAAAAAATATTTTCATTTCTTTGCATGGCCAAATTACAGGCAAATATAAACACATATCTTATGCTTTTTGAAGCACTGAAAGTAGCTGAGCTTTGAAGACCACAGGAATTTTCAACTTGGATTGTCCTTACCAAATTAAATACTACAGGTGTGTGAACAAAGCCAGATTAAAGTATCTAAGACATTTCGACCACTTTATTGAAAGCAGAATAAATATCAGAACTGGGGAGATGTTAAAAGAAATATTAGGGTATCCAGTGTCGTTTCCTGGCATTTGACTTAGAAGGTCCTCTTGGCAACACATAGTTGGAAACAACAAAACATGTAGACTGAAAGCCTGTTCCTACCAAAATATTTACTTTAATTTTATACTCGTTTTGGGTGATGTAAATAGTACTGTTGTATGTTTTTAATAGAGGTATGACCTCATTGTCATTTCTTCAGATTCATTCAGAGAACAAGAAAAAATTACGTGGTTTTTTTTTTTTTTTTTTACTAAATGGAGAAAGTTACAGAGAAGTTAGGGGAAAACTGTTTTTGTTTTTGTTTTAAAAGTAAACAGAACAAAACAGTATGGAGAGTATAGAGTAGGGAAAAAGATCTATCGTATATGTGTTGAGGTTTAGGAAAATAATGTTAGTTTGTTAGTGATGTGGAAATGGTCAAATGTGATGATAGGTTAGCTACTGCATTGTTGTTTTCTTGCTGAGTAACACTGCTACTGAAAAACATTCTGAAGAGAGTTTGATTTACATACGTCTCTATGTATTTTCTACAATGATAAGTATATACTCACTTTTTACTTTTTTTCTTTTATTTTCTTTTTTATTTATCCTCACCCAAGGACATTTTTCGACCTTTTGTTCAGATAGAGTGGGAGGGAGAGAGAGAGAGAGAAACATCGATGTGAAAGGGACACATCAAGTGGTTGCCACCCACACAACCCAATCAGGGCTGGGGACAAACTGCAGCCGAGGTACGTGCCCTTAGTGGGAACTGAACCCGGGTCTCTCCAGACCGCAGGCCAACGCTCTAATTGCTGAGCCAAACCGGCCAGGGCCATACTCACTTTTTAAATAGTTATTGTTAATTATTGAATATTTCAAGTAAGATTACAAAACATAAGTAAGGTATGGAGAGTAATGGTGCAGTGAAAATCTGTTTCCCCATCACTCAATTAAAAAAAGATATTACCATTGCCTTTGAGGACCCCTGGGTGCTCCTCCCCAATCTTCACTCATCCCAACCCCCACCCACTGATAAATGCTGAATTGGAGTTTATCATTCCCTCCTTCACTTTATAGTTTTCGATTTCATAATCACTTTCAAAATCTACATACACTATAGAAAATTCACTATGCCATAAATATATATAAGGGATGGAAGAAATGATATTATTTTAAAGGAGTTGTTAGTTAACAGTCTTCTTTTATTTGACATCTTTAACTTTATGTTTAAATTAATTAATTTGATGGCAGCATTTTAATTCTAAAATTAAATTGGGACTTAATTGAAACTTTTGTGTGTGTGAAAGTTCTAGGGAAAAAAATCAGAGTTGAAGAGCCTTCAATTTAATGTCCCTGTAAAAAATGTGAGTGGGCCCAGAGGCCTATTTCCCAGGACCTCAGTGTGTCTTCAGTGTTGTAATAGAGTAATTTTAATAAGCTTTTAAATAGTCTATTTAAATTTTTATAAGGCATTTTTGAATTTTGAAGAACCAGACTGTAGGAAAATGTGATGCTTGTACATGTATGTATGTACATCAGCCTCTTCTGACCTCTCACAACAATTCGGTTGTAATTATTAATTTGTGTAGATTTGGTGGTCTCCTCTTGGGAGGAAGTGCTTTCTCTGTGGCCAAGAGGTGGGTCTTTCTCCAAGAATGGGCTGATTTTATTTTATTAAAAAGTTTTCTTGTTTTGATCTTCTCAGAGATTCTTGGTTTTCCCTTTGTTTGTTAGTTGAATTTTTGTGTTTCACTTGTAAATTTTGAGCTGCCTCAAAGGCCTTATTTGGTTAGTTCTTTTCATTTATGTTCTGGATTTAAACCTTTGATTCTCTCAGAATCTGCCTCGAGGACTGGCCTCCCTACCTCTGTTAATAAAACTCTAAGACGTTAATGGAAAATTGAATTTGTGTTTTTTTTTTTCACCCTATAAGGACTCTTATATTTTAAAAGAGGAATTCTGGCAATAAAATGACATCATCCAGCTTGGCACCATGGAAGGAACACTTGACAGTGTGTCCCTTACTGGCCAGGGTCACAGAGTAGACGCTAGATCAGCTGGAAATCGGCTCTGGCTCCTGTCAGGTCATTTAGGCGATGAGGATAATGCTAAATTTGGGTGAAGGCAACATGTGCCTGCCCGTCTGCCTTCCCACTACTCATGGGCTCTGTCTGCACTGACACGCTCACTCCAGAGCCTGAGCTAGCCTGGATCTGGGAAGGAGGGTCATGGGCAGCCCCAGTCTCACTGGTGATGGTGGGAATGACTGCTGGGCCCCGGGACTTCCTGTTCCGTTGTGTTGGTGCTGGCTGTGGGACTGGGTCTCTGTCATGATTCTCATTTAACAGTCAGCCCGACAACCCCACCTTTAACCCCAGGCTTCCCTTAGGCTGGGGCGTTATTTATTTATTTTCCTCCTCTCTAAACTAGCTTCCTCCTTCATGTTTTCTTAGCCACTGGCAGGGCTGTCTTGGAACACAGCTCTGTGCCTTCCATGTTAACATCAGATGCCTCAACTCTCTAGCGGATGGAGTGGCTGTCCTGGGCTGACATTTGCTTCAACCTTGCCTGAGTTTGAGCTGGTCCTCGCCATGGACCCTGTGCCCTGGACTCCTTAGATTCCCTCACTGGAGTGACATGCTGGCTGGCCTGTTTCTCCTCCACTTACCTGCTCCAGGGCTCAGCTGGTGTTGTCTGACCATGTACAGCCACATTGACCACTGTCTCGAGACGTACTCTGGCTCTTCCATGCATACTTGATGCATCTGAAGTTACTGAACAATAATGGCAAAAGTTTTGGGCATTGTAACAGGTTTGATAGAGAGCTGTCTAGCCTGCGATTTGCTAGTCATATCATGACTTGACCATACTCTGCATATAAGTTCAGTGTTGATCTCAGTTTATCTAACTTGTGGTCTCTCTCTAGGCACTTCTGTGGCTAAGTACAGTTTACTTTGTGGCATTCTGTGTACTAAAGAGGGAATGGTGGGTGAACATCCACAGCAAGACCTCTTCTTGTGGTAAGGGTGGAGTCTACAGAGAGCCTAGATTTCTGTATATCCCCAGCATGATTATCACATTTTCCCGAGGACCAGCTAGGTATCAGGTACTAGGTAATAGACACATGTGAAGGACCTCTGGATCAACTGAGGGGATTCATTTGTTCATTCAACAAATAATGAGTATTGATCATGTGCCAGACATTAGGTACCAGGGGTATTATAGTAAACAAAGCCCCTACTCTTTTAAAAAAAAAAATACTATTTATTTATTTATTTTTAAAGGACGGGATTGGGGAAGAGGGGGTCAAGGGGGAGAATAGGGACATCCAAAGTCCCTACTCTTATGAGCTCACTGTATTCTACAGTCTGATGGGGACAGACACCAAACAAATGAATAAATAGCCCTGGCCGGTTTGGCTCAGCGGTTGGAGCGTTGGCCTGCGGTACAGAGAGACCCGGGTTCGGTTCCCGCTAAGGGCATGTACCTCAGTTGCAGTTTGTCCCCGGCCCTGGTTGGTCGTGCGGGTGGCAGCCACTCGATGTGTCCCTTCACATTGATGTTTCTCTCTCTCTCTCTCTCTCTCTCTCTCTCTCTCTCTCTCTCCCTCCCGCTCTATCTGAACCA